AAAGTCATGAGGATCTTTTTTTCTTGTACGGTAGGCACATCAACTTGATTTGCTAGGTGGGAAAAAAAGGAGTGCTGGAGGGGCTTGTTTTCAAACAGAGCTTTTAGTGCGCAGAGTTTCAGACCTCTTGGTGCAGCAGCGGTCGGTGCAGTTCCTACAAGGCAAACTCTGTTACGGCAGAAGGCGGACAGGCCGTCCTGCCAAGCACTCGGCCACCACGGGGTCCCACTTTGCAGCCTGCTGTCGGGAAGCCCGGGATGAAATCAAGGTCAGAGGCTGGAAGTTTCTGCCAGAAACTTCCTATTGTGATTTCTCCTTGCCGGCAACAACCCCACTCGGGGACCGGAGCTGCGGCACACCACGCTGGTGTTGGGCTGCCAAGCCGGGTTTGTGCGGTGCTGGGGTGAGGGCAGAGGGAGCTTGGTCTGCAGCTGTCATCCCGGCGGGCAGCTGGCAGGGGGCAGGCAGAGGCGGCTGGGGGGAAACCACGATGGCTGGATGTGCTGCCAAAACCCGCCTGAGTGACAGTGAGACATGCAGCGCAGATGCGGCATGGCAGTGGGATGGGGATGTGTTTCGGGGTGGGGAGAGAGACAGGGGGATCATCTGGGCTGCAGGTCTCAGTCCACCTCAGTGTCCTCCTTGGGAAGAGGTTGCCTCTAAGCAGTGGTGCGCCCTGTGGCTGCCACCCCACCAGAGCCCAGACTCGTCCAAACTTAGTCTGGGGACTGCTCTGCCCCACCAGAAATGTTGCTTTCCTCTGCTACAGCCTCCCAGTGTGCTTCTGCAGCCTCCCTGACATGTGTTTCGTGTTAGCCCCCCCAACAATCAAGAGCTGGCTGGGAAGTATGTTATCAAATTCAGAGGGAGCATTTCATTTCCCAATTAGATCTGGATCTTTTAAACATCTAAGCTCGCCTCATTTCAAGCATGAGAACAGAAGAAAACATCTCTTGTTATGTTTGGAGAACATAATTAATGTCTTTTGGCTTCACTAACCAGCTTTAATAGAGAACACGCAAACTCAAAGGGTTCAAGGGGGTTAAATTCCAGGGTAATGTCCTGCACCTTCGGAATTCTGCTGGTGCAGAGGTGTCTTGAAACACACCCTCCTCAAGGACGCATTTTCATCTTGGAAATGAAACTGGGAAGTGAAACTAAGTTCATCACCAGCGGAGCGGTAGAAGGCTTCCCGCCCGCATGATCTTGCATGGCGTAGAGACTGCTTAACCACATCAGGTTTGCGTGCGACCATGGGATAGCTGAGACTGGAAATATGCAGCACATTTTGCTGTGAAATACGAGTACCGGGTAATGCTCTGCATGGTGCAAGCCGCAGCTCTGGGTCCCTGTCACCAAAAGACTCGCTGTGACCAGCCTGCCACATTGCCTCGGGGCTCCTCTCAGGTTTTGTCCTGAGCAAGAGGATGGAGTGGATTCCCATCTCCAGTGCTCCAGGTGGACACTGAGAAGCGGGATGACTCTTGTCATGCCTGTATGAGAAATAAAAGTATCCCACTCACCACGTTTCTCCAGTCTTCAGGCTGTGTGGGAGATGAAAGGAGAGCACCAGAAGTGGAGCTCATGGTGCTTGCAGGAGCGGCCACTCTTTGCCGTTAAAGGTCAACATGGAAATTCCCACTCTTGGCACGTTCCCTGTGGTGAGCTTCAGCCAGTGACTTCTTGCATGTTGAGCCAGTGTGGCCAAGGCAGAAAACACATTTCAACATGTTTTTAAATTCTAAGCTCACAGCCCACACTTAGTCACCCTCGTATATAAGGGCTTTTTCTTCATCCCCTTCAGTAAACGAAACCGTTTGCTTTAAGATGCTGTTTCTTAAATTTTCCAGTTGCAGTGGTTTAATGGGATGCGTTATTTGGAAATGGCTGTTTCCCTTCCCCGGGACAGTCATTCCAGGCTCCATTCCCAGCCTGCCAGGGGCTGGAAGGGACATGCAGGCTTTCTAGCCTCCTGTACTGACCTGGCACTGACAGCTTTAAGAACTGAACCATTTCATGAGCAATAACACTTCCAGAGATGGATTTCCAATGGATTCATGTCTTGTGCTGGGCTCTGTGGTGTCCAAGGGGGACTGAGCTAAGGCTGATGATGCAGGGGCTCTGCCTCTCTGCCCAAGAGCAGGAGGGTGGCTCCCTCCCGGGTCGGGACCATGAGATGGTGTCAATGCAATCGGCTTGCGTCTCTTGACCCTTACAGCTCAAAGTCAAGCATGAGCACATTTACTAAATGCCATATACACAGCTGCTTTGGATTCCTTGAAATAGTGTCCGTTTAAGAAAGCTGTGATTTATAGCTAGTTTGGACACATGCATTGCCATGGAGGCACCAAACCTGCTGTGTGCAAGAGCCTGAATTACTTGTGACTAAAAGCCAGCCACCCCATTCAGTTCGCTTGTGAAGCAGAGGGCGCAGGGGGTCCCTGCTCTGCACCTGCAGCCCGAGCATCAGCGGTGGTGGATGTAGCTGTGTCAGCGGGCTCAAAACTGGAGCTTTGTAGGGAACGGGCAAACCAAACGTGCCTGTACGGATGTGTCTGGGGAAAGGGCAGGGCTGTCGTCGTGAAGGCAAACAGAGCAAGGATTTTTAATTTCCATCAGATGTAGGCAGGGAAGGAGGTCAGCTCTAGAGATCTTGTAAACATAACCTCCTCTGTCTAGTAATGTTTGAGTTTGCAGGCTGGATCCAAAGCAAACGGAGGGGAGTGCAGACAAGGCTGTAGGAGGGCAGCTTGGGATGTGCTGGGACATATGAGATGCCTTGTAAAACAGAAGGTGTTCCCATGACTTTTGGCAAGGGATAAAGCCTGAAAATCCACAGCCTCTCTGGTAATCTTGGAGCGATGGGAGAGGCGGGGAGATCGGTGGGTTTGTGCCGATGAAAGGAGTGTGTATATAATTTATCTTGTCCGAGGCACTTGAGGCTGTTTCCAGTGGGAAAGCTGAGCTGTAATTAGGTTTCTGATGAGCCTTGTATACAAACCCTTCAGCTCTATAATCTAGGCCTTCAAAGGCATCCCTTCTCCTAGGGACTGGCCAAGGAGGAATTCGGGCAGTATTTCCAGTGAGATGATGGGTGCCTTTCTGAAATCAGATGCTCAGCAGCCAGCCACTCCGCTGGCCGTCAGTGAAAGCCTTGGAGCCTGCTGACTTTCTCAGCCTGTCGCTAAACCCCGTAGTTGCAAGGGGATGCTTCAGTAGAGGCAAACCCATAGTGGATCAGTTTCTTCATCCGTCTCTGTTGTGAGCTGCCCCCAGCTACTCCCTGGGGGAGGTTCAGCTGGTCCCAGCAGCCTTCATGGTACTGACTGGGACGTAGAGGTCTGCCTTGGATACTGGAGATGGTGCTTGTTGATTTAATATTTTTTTTAAGTTTTAAGGTTTTTGGGGGTACTTCTTAAGTAAAGCTGTTACGAAAGCAGGGTAGGAAAGACCTTACGAAATGGTTGACCTGCTAGGCTTTTTGCTGCTAAACCCTGAGTTCAAAACCAGCAAGGAAGCCCTGCTCCATTCCCATCTTCATTTCTCTCGATGTGGACATAGAAAGAAGAGATTAATTTGTTCAAAACACCAGCCAGCCCAGTAAACATAGAACCCCTCACAGGACCCCCCTCTTTTACACCATTTTGAGGGCCCAGCAGTAATGCTGATCTCCAGAGCTTAGGGTCCACAGTGGGCAGGGAAGCGTGGAGGAGGAGAAAACTTCTTGCTGAGTGGTGTGGCCTGGAGACGCCTAGGCTGGATGCGTGGCTTGGGCCCCCCCTTTACTGGCACAGCAGCTCTGCTAGCAAAATCTGATGCTGTAACAAGACCAAGCAGAAAACTGCCCGCAGTCTGGCTGTGCTGCCTCCTCTCTGGCTCATGTGGTGAGCAGCCAAATCGCATCCACGCTGCCACATCCTCTGATGCCCTGAAGTATTTGTCTGCCCAGTGCTGTGCCTCTGAGGCAGACACATCTGCTTCGAGAAGCAGCATTTCCAAAGCTGCTGCCAGAGACCCTTTGTTAGCCTGAACATTTTTGCTACTCCACTAGCAGTAGAAATCATGGTACTAAACTGGATGTAACCCTCCTAGCTTAGCTGGAGCCTTCAGGTGGGCACACAAGTGAAGCCGAGTGATGCTTAGGGGACGTCGGGGACTGAGTGACAGAGATGCTGCTCGCCTTCTGCGAAGGTGGGAGGTGGAGCGCTCTGCAAAGCCCAGTTAGACCATGCTGGGCACCAGGAGGCAGAGGTGGGGAATATTCACTCTGCGGGTAAGAAATGATGATGGCAACACCCTGCTGAAATGTGCTCTCAGGTGTCAACATTTGCTTGGTGGTGTCAAGCACTGAATGGGGGCAAACCAGGAGGGTGCAGAAGGGCACCCTAAAAAGAGAGGGATACTTGGGAACCCTCATCCGGAGAGGGGAAAATAAGAGAGTAACAAGTTTGACGCCTGGCCAGAGCATGCAACCTCTGCCAGCTAATCCTCTTTGAGCTCCGCAGTAGTGGGTGGTTGTTCCTCGCGTGGACCTGCTCGCTTTGCTGCCCTCCACCCACAGCAGGATGACAGTGCTACACTGAGCGGGGGTCCCAGGGGGGCTTGGGGTGGAAGTCACCTCCCCCAGCTGCAGGCTGTGTTTGCTCGAAGGGAGCTACCCTGTTCTCCCCATAGTCACCATCACTGCTGGTACTGCCCAAGGGCAGTTTGTGCCCCTGTCCTGGCCACCTGGTCCCACCTAGGAAGGGAAAGATGCCTATTTGTCATGAGTGACCACAGAGGGAAGCTGGAGGAGCTGCGAGTAGGTATTTTTTGCTGCTGAATGTAGATAATAATTAGATATCTAGGTGTTTCCCATCGTCAGCTGTTTGATGCTCTGCCAAGTAAGGTCTCTGGCAGCTTTTCCTGCTGGGCTGCTGGTCCCTCCTGTGCAGGGGCAGCTGCAGCACCCGGTGCTGGTCCAGGATCTGCTGACACCTCCTCCCCGCTCTTGCCTTCAGGCCACGGAGAGTGTCACTGCGGAGAGTGCAAGTGCCACGCCGACTACATTGGGGACAACTGCAACTGCTCCACCAAGACGGACGGCTGCATCTCCAGCGACGGGCAGATGTGCAGCGGCAGGGGCACCTGCGTCTGTGGGAAGTGTCAGTGCACTGAGCCGGGGGCTTTTGGAGAGACGTGTGAGAAGTGTCCCACCTGCCCGGGCGTCTGTAGCACTAAAAGGTACTCATGGCAGGGGTCGGGAGGGACTTCTCACTGGTGGCAGCTCTTTGGTTCCTGGGAGACTTTTCAGCTAAGGAATTACTCCCAGCTCGTTCATCAGGGTAGGTTAGCCCTAGGCAAGCCTGCTGCCGCTCAGAGCCCATGCTAAGCAACTTGAGATTATCCCAGGCAGAGAAGCAACAAGTGGTGCTGCCCGAGTCCTCATGGAGGTTCACGTCCCCATTCATTTCCAGCGCTGTCCCACTCTGGAGGAAAGGATGGCAATCCCAGTTTTGCTGCACCCTGAACTGTAAACATCTGGGCCCAGTGAGCTGCAAGCTGCAGAGGAGGGGAGGAGGGGGTGACTGCCTGCCTCCCAATGATGGAGGTGGCCAGGGCATCAGCCTCAGACTGGCACAGAGCAGCAGTGCAGTCTGCCTTGATCTCAGGCAGGATGGATTTTGTAGTAGCTGACGTGCAGCTCCTGACATCCAAGGGGCAAACAGACCCCAAACCTGCCAGCTGTTTTGCATCTTCATTGAATCCACCCCTAGAATAAATCCATCCTTCAGATGGAGATGCTTGGCCCTGAAGTTGCTCTTTCCTTGTGGTGCGGGTGTGCAGCCTCCAGACCAACACCCGGGGAGCCCCTGGCCAAGAGGTGAATCTCTGTGTCCATGCAGTTTCTGATGGGTGCTTAATCTTCCCCTCCACGTGTCTTTCTGCAGGGACTGCATTGAATGCAAGCTGTTTAACTCAGGAAGACTGGCTGATAACCAAACCTGCCAAAAGCACTGCAAGGACGAGATCATCACCACTGTGGATGTTCTCGGTAAGTAGGCAGCAGCAGGACTGCAGATGGTGGGAGCCAGCAACTCTAGCGTTGAACTCCTCTTAACGAGACTGAGGTATATCTGTAAAGAAATCCTCAGGAAACACCTGGTATTTAGAAATGTATGTGTGTATGTATTATGTATATGTCTATATAGTATGTGTGACCCTCTCTCCAGGCTGTAATCAATATTGCAGTAAAAAACCCTTTGATTTTAAATAAGATCTTACCATGTCTAACCACTACTGCCAGTCCAAGGAGCAAAGAGAGTGGGATGAGATCAGATGAGATGGAAGATTAGCTGAGCCGTGAGAGAGTGCGAAAGGACAAAGTGTCACCCCAAAATTCTCTAATCTTCTGAGAATTAATCTTGGAAGAAGTGAGCTCGTAAGAGAAAGCAAAGCTGGTTTGGAGACAGTGAGTTCTGCTTTGGTGGAACGACTGCTAAAAGTCCCCCTGGCAAGCTCCTCTCCTGCCCTTTGTGTCCTCTTCTAGAGGGCACCCCACATGTGCATCTCTCAGAAGATGACTTTCTCCCCCTTCTTTTCAAGCTCCATTCTGGGAGTCCCTGGTTGCTCTTTAGGGGAGTAGAGGGGATCCAATGTGTGACAACTTTAGTTGCAATCCTGACGCTGGCCTTAGCAATACCCCTCAGAGGGAGGGATGGAGATCAAGCAGGGATAAGTTATTGTCCCTGTCTGACATTTCCTCCTCTTCCCATAGTTTATAGAGGTAGGAATGCTCTGCCTTGCTTGCCTTTTCTCTCCCTTCCTCCCAAGCTGCCTGCAGGCCATGTTTTTCCCATTCACTCCTCTCATTTCCAATGTCTAGCTTTTAAATTACGACCAATGGGGTTTCCTACTTTTCCCTTTGGGAGACTTGCTCTCGTTCTCTCCATCCTCCCTGCAGTTTACCAGGGAGTGCACCTACACCAGCACACTGCGAGAGGTTACAAGGCACTTCCAAACTACACGTAGCTCCTTTCTGATGCCTGGCTGGCCTGCATTTCTTAGGAGCCAGCAAATACTGGGGGATTGAAACTGTACTCCCCTGCCTGGGTGTTGTACCATGCCAAAGCCAGCTTTTGTGCTGACTGCACCCTGGGAGGCTCGGCTCAGCTGTGGCTTGCCAACCCTCCACGTGGCTTTCAGAGAAAAACACAGCCAAATTTCTGTTTTAAGACATTTTTGGGAATTACACTTATTCTTCTCTTGAACTACTGCAGTCAGATTGCAAGTGGTGCTGAGCTCTTGGGAGTTCGGGGCACTCTGCAGCTTGGAGATCTGGGCTGCTAGAGAGAGAAGTAAAGCAAAATATTCCTAGAGAAAGTGCTTGGGGACTACAGACTTCTTCACAGGCAGACTCAGCCAAATCCTGGTCTTCAAGCACTTTTGTGTTATGTAGCATATGTTAAAAGTCCCTGCTGAGAGGCTGAATGCTGGCATTTGTCACAGAAGACATAGGTCTGCATTGTCCTCGCAGTGGACGATGGGACTTTCTTAAATATCGAGTTGCAATGAACACACCCTGGAAGATCCCAAGTGCCTTTTTTGGCTCTGGGTATGAAGCAGCCAGTGCTTCAAAGGTTTGTAGACTGGGGGTATCTATCGTTGGACTCACGAGCCAGAATGATACCTTTTGGGAGGCTTATATGACTTGCATTGGACTCTGTAGGATCTCCTTTGCTTCTGCAATATTACATTTCCATTCCTGATGGTTCCAGAGGGGAGCTTTCAACACCAGAGGAGCATGACAGGTCCAGTGCTGAGCTGAACTTGCCAACAGCACACACCAGTGGACCTGAAAGCTCGACAGGGCCATAACACTTCTCTCTGTGGCCATGTGATCTCTGAAACCTAGTGGAGACCAAGAGGGGTCATTACTATTGAGAATTTAATCACTGTATCTTCAGCAGAATAGTGGTGCAAGGGTGGGATTGAAAGCAGCTGGGCCTGGAGGAACTAAGATTTGCTGCTCAACTAAGATTTGCTTCTCAAGTCAGAAGGGCATTAGTCAAGAAGCATGGGAGTTTCACTTATATTAATCTAATTAGTGCTTTGTTTTGGAACAATCAGCGCTTCTCCAGCCCTGCCTTTGATACCACTGTGTAGATAGAGCAGGTTTTCCCATCCCGGGGTAGGAACAGCTGAGGTTTGTCCACACCAGGAACCTCGTCAGGACTCACCAGAGAGGCAGCTGCATCTGGGCTCAGGGCTGTTGAAATGGAGGGTATTAATCTTTCGACTGAAAGCAGGTCAAAAGTATTGAAAGGAAAGACAAACAGGCAGGAGAGAGATAAGGGGCTGGAACAGCAGTGGTCATTGCCGTGATCATTTTTCAGCGTGACAGACAGGCACGGATACAAGTGAGGAGGAGAGCTGTGGGAAGCATTTTCCAGGTGCCTAAACCAAGGTCACATCTTTGCCAGCCAGTAGCACTGGGTGCCCAAATCCCTTCCTCTCCCTTGAAACTCCCAGCCCACGCAGGGCTACAGCAATGTGCTCCTGCAGAGCTACCTGCCGTGGCCGGAGATGCTGCCCCGGCTCCCTCCAGGCACTGTCCCTGCAGCAGGGACACCCCACCAGCTGTGGCCATGCAGGGCAGTGGCTCTGCTGAAATCACCCCTGAAGCTACAGCTGCAAACCTCAGGTGATGGCTTTGCTGAAACTTTGTAATGGCTTTTGTGAAGCAGCCTTCCTCAGGAAGCATCTTACAGCGCCCAGGCTTTGCCTGGTGCTATGGTATGTTAAACAGGCAAACACACAGCACCCGTATGGCCATGGGAATCGAGTAGTCTCATTTCTTGCAGCTCCTCCATCTCCGCATCCTCCCCTCCCACCAGCTCCTCCCTCCCCCCTCCCTCTCTCCTCCCCTCCCCATTTTCCTCTTCTATCTCACTCCTTAAAAACAAACTTCTCAACTGTTTCCAGAGCTGGAGCCGTTCGGCACAGCCGGAGCACGAGCCAGCCATGGGATGCTGCCCCTTAGGCTGAGTCTGTGCCCCTCACTTTCTCTTCAGCTTCCACTCTTCAAGAAATTTAGCAAATTAAGCAGAAAACAGCATTTATTGCCAAAGCAGAC